ATTTTTCTCGGCTACAAAAAGCCACCGAGAGCATTTTTCATTCTCCGGTGATGAGAGAAGGATTTGCTTAGGGACAGGGGTTAGTGGTGGGATGGCAGGGTTAGGGGAACAGTTGGACTTGATGATCTTAAAGGCCTTTTCCAACCTAAATGATTCTGTGATCCTATGATTTTCCAGCCTGCTGTACATCTACAGGCGACGGGATATGACCATAAAGCCTGTGGAAAGGAAGTTGTATGTCTGAGAACTCTTTCAACAGCCTGTGACATAAAATACAAAAGGTCTGCCAGCGTACAGCCCTCTCCAAAACAAGACTATTAGAAGGGAAAGAAAGCAGACAGAACTGTTCACCCTCATCCATTTTTTTTTTCCTTGCCAACTGCATTGAAGAGTCCAGCACAAATCCTGGTAGGCAGGCTTTTGCCAAATGGAAACACTGTGCAAGAGCTGCTGGCCCCAAAATTGGTTTTTTTTTCTTTTTTTTTTTTACAGGTTTTGCAGCCTCGGTGACATCTCAGCGTTTGTCCTACAAACGAGATGCCCGCGACCGCTTCGCCGCAGAAAAGCAGCAGCGCTGACGGGTGACGCACGGGGCAGCTCCCTGCAGGTACGAAACCTCGGCTGCGCTGCGGACGTTGGCAGGGATCGTTTAAGAAACCCTCCCAATAATCTCGATAACCGTCGTCTTTCAGCACGGGGGCGATGAAAACGGGGCACACTGACTCCCGCAGGCACTCAGAACGCTCGCCCGCCTTTCATTTCTGACCACTTCTGAAAACGTTGTAATTATCATTATGATAATAATATATCATTATTATAATAACAATACAGTAATATAAACCTTAGAGAGCTGTTCTTCACAACCTGCGTCCCGCAACACCACCTAGCACGTGCTGCCCATCGCCTCAAAGAATCAGATTCTTATTTTGCTGTAGAGTCCGGATTTTGGATTAAAGTTTCAAATACATTTAGCAAGCGAGGAACCAGGCTCCTGCCAATGGCTTGCACCTCCCGGTTTTACAGGCTCCGCTCCTGCAGGGCCTCCTCCGTCGCACACCCTTTGGAACGCTGTACCCTGCGTTCCTCCAACACCCCGTCGAGCCTGACAGCGCTTCGACGCCGTTCTGACAATGAACTCACACCCCGCAAACGCCTGCAAGCATCAGGCCGTGGGGTGAACCACTTTGGGGAGTTAAAACGCCGGAAAAACACCCGCTCCCAGGCGGTGGCTGTCAGGGAGGCAGGAGGACCCGCTGGGCACACGATCAGTCAGGCGGTAACATCAAACTTGCCCTGAGTGAATACAGCCCAGCACAATCGGGGTGGAAAACACCAAGGGGGGGAAAAACCCCTCTTTTTTTTTTTTTTCTTTCCAGTAGGGTTAGATCTCTCATTTTGGATTAGCTGATTCTTCTGGAAGAACAGGCTGCTTCCACAAAGTCAGCCAAATTTTAATTAACGGTGCAAGGACACTTTAGATGAGCTAGGGACTAAAGCACGTAACCTCCGTTAAGGGGAATATTTAAGAATAAGAGGTTTGTGAAAAGCAACATGTTGAACTCCCACCGCCGTCCAGGTGAACTCCTGCCGAGGGAGCAAACCAACAGCCAAAGATAAAACCTTCCCCAGTTTCTCCAGCGGCTTAATTAACAGATATAATTTAAGTTTATATTAGCTTTACCTCACGAATTATCCGCTAATTCTCAAACACCAAGTCTGCGTACAAACTCCTACCTAAACCTTCCCCTGTCTTGCTTCTTCAGCTCTGCTCCCATTTCTCTCGTCCTACGCGTTTGCATTACTCTGAACAGCAAACGGAGTCGTCAATTCTATCTTTCAGTGCCACTAAAGCAGTAAGGACATTTCAAAGGTCACTTTGAGCTTGGGGAAGAAAACCACCTTTTGTAATTATAGTTACCAAGAAATGGTTGTCTAATATCATGAACTTCCATCTTCACTTCTATTTAACACAGACAGCCAAAAAGGAGAAAAAAAAAAAAATCAGAAATAATATCTAGTTGTCATCTGTCTCCAAAAAAGTGCTTATTTCTCCTAAGAACAAGCCTTGGAAATTCAGCCAAGAGATTTAAGCCAGCAGGTTTTCAGCCTGGGGAGAAAGTCTGCTTTCCAGGGGGACCGATCCCACCGGCATGGTGGAGGTAACCGAAATTAAATAGCATTACCTCAGAGCGTGGCACCACTGCCGCAGGGAAAAAAGCGCCCAGGGAACCCTGCAGTACCTGGCCATGCCGTGAGCGCAGGTGCCATGAAGGAGAGGGAGCGAGGGCACGTACGAGATAAGAAGCGTCTCCCCAGTCTTCCTCCTCGAGACGTCGGGAACTTTCCAGCTATTTAGACTACAGGGAGCCGGAGAGAAGCGTAAACACCAGACTCTGTGGGTTCTTGGCTCCCCTGCCCCCTCGAGACGTCGGGAACTTTCCAGCTATTTAGACTACAGGGAGCCGGAGAGAAGCGTAAACACCAGACTCTGTGGGTTCTTGGCTCGCCTGCCCCGTTCTCCTGCCACAGCCCTGCCTCTCATCACCTTTATTAACATCTCTGCACTTACAGAGTCCCCACACAGGTTTGCGGCGTTCTCCTTCCCCTCCGCACCGAAGAAATCGGTTACTTTGCCCTAAAGCCCTTGAGGCACAGATTTCAGCAAGGGACCCCAACCTTTAAATGACGCCCAAGTTGCCAACACTGAATAAACCTAACCACAACAATGCCGAACACAACATAAAGGCGACACATCCAGCTGCGAGAGCGCATGAAACACAAAGATGCAGCCGAGCTAAAACCAAACACCACAACAACATGCCCAATTAACGCTGACACTTCAGTGTATATTTACAATAACCTTGTGGGAATTCTATGAAAGATGCGGAGCAGGACTACGCTGCTCAGGCGATGTCAGACCCCGGCCTGCAGGACCACCCCGAGGAATTTATGAGACGTTTTCTCCGTCAACTCATCGCTAAAGGGGATGGGGAAGTCACTGCAGCCGCCCTTTGACTGTCTCCGCGCTCAGCAGCTAATAGACAAAAGTAAAGCCACACCTGCACGCTCGACCCAAACGTTTAAAGTTTAAGGGAAGTAAAAACTGGGTGTTGCCAGCTCCATGCTGGAAGAGGGGCTCCTCCAGAACAGCCCCCCTCAAATTACTTAAAGAAACAAGTGCAAGCTCATTGCTCATCGATTATTTTTAGCTTCTTTGAATGCTGAGAAGAACAACCACCAGTGAGGGTTGTAATTCAGATCTCCTTTTTAAACTAAGCAGCTTTAAGACATTGGGATAAGACAAATGTTATGTTATAGTTTAAAACCCGCTATGTTTTGGCTACCAGCATCCGAAAGGACGTTAATGAGTCATCCCTGGCCGATTCCCAAGCTTGGTCCCTCTATGTGGGAGTTGCAATAGGAGCAGGCCTGCACGGCTTGTCAAAACCATCCTAAAAAGGGACAGGCTTCAGAGATAACAGGGAGTGGTGGCGCAAGGAAAACGAGCCCTGCTCCTTTCTGTTCGCGCAGACGTAACGAACACAAAATTCAGCGTCCTCGGATGCGAGTTAAAATACACCAGAGGTTTTTATTTAATGCTGGGCTTCTCCACGTGCTTCAGGGTCCCACCGGCTTCGGGAAAAAATGAGAGGGAGTGACACAGCGAGGCCTGGAAGAGGTCTGTACCCCGACAAACTCACAGAGCAGCCTGCATCGCCTGACGGGCGCCAGGCCAGCCCCTTCACACATAGGCTCGCTTTGGCCCGCCTGATTTGAAGCCCCAGCAGATGAGGCTGCGGGACGGCCTCAAGCCAGGCGATCCTGCACGCAGGGCTGGCTTTCCCTGAGTGTTTCTGGAAAGCAAACCGGGCCGGACATGCTGTCGGGGGGGGGGGGGGGGTTCGCACCTTCAGGGATGCCCGGCGCCTCGAGGCCTTACCTTTCCTCTCCGCTGCGCCCCCTCCTCGCCCCCTGTCACGCTAAACCTGAGGGAAAAGCAAGAACATGGCATTTCAGAGGGCAGGGAGGAGGCCGAGGCTCCTTCTCGGGGGGGGATCGTCCCGGAAAATGGCTTATCAGGCGCGGGGGGGTGCGTGTGTGACAGAGCGGCGCCGCTGAGGGGAG